GCCTGGACAACATGAGACCTCATCACCACAGAAAGAAACATTGGCTGGGTGTGGTGCTGCCTGCCTGTAGTTAGAGCCTCAGGAGGCCGAGGTAGCAAGACTGCTTCAACCTGGGAGTTCAAGGCTGCAGTGAGCTGTGAACATGCCGCTGCACTCCAGGGTGGGTGAGGGCAGTGAGGCCCTGCCTCAGTCAATCAGTAAAAATAGACACGTCTCTAATCCAGCACCGACTGATCAGCTTCGAGTCAACCACCCAGCTTTACCTGTTAACCTGGTTTCCCTGGAAACTACAGGAGATGCTTCTTTCTAAATTATGTGTTTCTATGTTTTTAAAAATATCTACCACCATGTGTTTCTATATAGCCTGGAAAAGTTAGACAATTACCCTAGAAGGAAAATAACAGAAGCACCCTCCACTGCTGTGGAGGCCAGGGCCTAGGACTGAGGTGACCTGCACATCCCCAAAGTAAACTCAAGAGGGAAGTCACCGCCCGCAGGAGCCTGGGCCACTGCTGGCCGCAACAGTGAGTGCCGTGGGGCCAGGCTGGCCGTGCAGGCTATTCCTGAAACTTTCACCTCATTCTGTGGCCACTGACCGCTCCAGTTATGGCTGCCACCTCACAGACACCTCTCTGGTGACAAGCCAACCAGCAAAACCCGAAACATCATCCGGGGCTCCTGTGTCAGGGTCCCCAGGGCCAGGGCTGGGGCTGGCAATGCCTGGGGAGGCTACCGGGGGGCCCGGGGTGAAGGGCAGGGCCCACCTGAACATGGCCTTTCAGGGCCACTGAAGTCAGCCCAGGCTCTGCCCAGCCTGTCGCCCTCACGGTCGGGGCCCGATGGTCCTGAGAGGCAAGGTGGGTTGTGGGATGTGGGAGTCCAGGGAGCTCACTGTGTTCCAGGCTCAGCAGAGGACCTGGTGTTGCCCTTGCTATGAGCGGAATCACGCTCCCCCGAGGCATATGCACAAGTCCTGACCCTAGCACCTCAGTTCCTGTGTTTTGAGAGAGGGCTTTTACGGAAGAAGTTGTCGAGTGAAAAAGAAGTCATGTGGGTGGGCCTTCATCCAGGCAGATCAGCATCCTCACAGAGAAATGGATACTGCACCCAGAGGGGCACACACAGAAGGACGGCCATGTGACCACACAGGGGAGCAGCTGTTGGCAGGCCCAGGGGAGAGGCCTCGGGAGGGATCAGCTGTGAGACACCATGGCCTTGGATTCTAGCCTCTGGAACTGACACACACATGTATGGTTTAAGCTACCACATCCGTGGCAGCCTGGTGGCTCAGAGTCAGGTAGGAGGGAGGACTTGAGTCGGTGGGGGAGTGGGACTCAGATACTGGACCAAATTGAGCACCAACTAAAACAGGGACAAGGAAAGCGGCTTCCCATGAGACGCGCTCACCAGCCTGCGGGTCAGTTCTTTCTATTGCCATGGCAACACTGGGTGGTACCACTCCTTTCCATGGCAACAACCTGGCCACCCCAGAGTTACCACCCTTTTCTAGAAACAGCTGCATAATCTCCCCTGTAGTTTCCATGTAAGCAGAAGTGGGTGTGAGTGTGAGTGAGCCTTGCCTCTGAGCTGCTGCTCGCGTGGCCTGTGGGGAGTCCGGCTCTGCCCGGAGCTGTGCCTCTGCTGCTGCTGGGCATCAACGCTTCCATAAGAGCTATTGTCTAATGCCACTGGCTTGCCCTTGGATTCTTTCCTGGGTGAAGCCCAGAACCTCCCAGGCTAAGTCGCAACTTGGGGTTTGCCTACCTTCATCAAGAGGACCCTATGGAAGTGGGGACCCTGCCGGTCTCAGCAGGGCTCACAGCCTGCGGTGTCAGTGTAGGAGTCCTCGGGCTCCACGCGGCACGATTTGGAGCTGAGGCCTTGAGGTGCCGTGATTCCCCCAAGGTCCTCACCCGGCTGCCGGCTCCGGGGCCCAGGGCTGACTGTGTCCCTGCGCAGGTCACCCCCTGGCTCAGGCCTTGCTTTCCTGCCTGCAGGACCAGACGGTGGGATGCGATTCAGCGCTGGAAACTGAGGAACCTGGAGGAAGCTCAGATGCAGAGCAAATGCTGAAAGCCACCCCAAGGAGGCGTATGCGGTGTGGCTGTGCCATGTGACACGCTGATGGGGCTCCGCCGTGACGCCAGTGGCTGGTGCCATGGGTCAGCCTTCGAGGGGGAGGAGGAGGAGCAGGTGGAGTACAGGACTTTCAGGACAGGGAGGCTCTTCTCTCCTGAAGGTGACAGACACCTGACATTTCACATTTGTGCAAACCCACAGGATGCGCCACAGCAGGAGAGCACCCCACGCCTACCCGACCCTAGCCTGTGAGACGCTGGTCACCCGGGCTCCTCAGCAGGCAGACACGCCGCCCTGGGGAGATGCTAGCAGCACAGGAGGCTGTGCGTGCAGGGAGGTCTGTGTGGGAAATCTCTGGCCCTTCCTCCCAATTTTGTGTGAACCAAAACTGCTCTAAGAAATAAAGTCTTAACATCCTAATATCTCTTTGAAGTCTGAGATTCAAGGCTCCACAGGGAGAAAAAAAAAAAAAA